AAAGTATTCTATCAATTAACAACATATATTGTTTGAAATTGACGGAAAAAAAACTATAAATTACAATAATTAACAAAATAAATCTCTCGACTCCAACAAATCTATCAATTAATGCCACATAAATTGGGACATGACAAATAACATATATTATTAAAAAATTAGGTTAAAAATGTACTATAAAATACAATAATTAACAACTTAATATATTAAAGAGACATATAAAAAATGGTTAATATTTGAAATTGTGCGTGTGCCACATAAATTAGAACAAACAAAGTAATAAATATTATTTTAAAAATTATGTTAAAAAAAAGTACTACAAATCACAATAGCTAAAAATTTAAAATATTTTTAAAATCATATAAAAATTTCAATAATTTCTCAAATTTCATAATATGACATAAATTAAAATTAAAAAATAATATATATTGGGCCCCGTGCTGGCACGGGGTCCTATATCTAGTAGTAGAATATAGAAACGCCATAAATGAATGACCAAGGGCAAATCTGTCAATTTGCTCAAAGATAAAAGAAATAATTAGCTTTTCCTCAGCTTTTCCAGAAGACTCCATCGTTTCATTTCTTTTTCCCCAACAATGGAGAATTTCCAGAAGACTCCTTCCAAGTGCCCATAATTTTCTTTCATCCAAACTTAAATTCAAGGTAACTTCATCTTCATATATTTGCCGTAAACTTAAATTCCAAGAATGGAGCATTCTTAGGTCACCTTTTGCCTCAATATTTTCCCTAATCAAGATTAAAAATTTCAATTTCTAAACTTAAATTCATAGCTACTGTGGTTATCGTACTACCCAACTCTCTTCTATGTTCTCTTTGATTTTTCATCTGGTACTGCAAAATCAAATTAGCTTTTTCTCTCAATGTTTCCCTAATCTTCTTCGAGTGATGTTCAGAATTTCCAATTTTATTGGTTAAACTCGCGTCTTCTACTGTTATTGTTCTGCCTTAACGCTTTCTTTGATGTTCTGCCACATTAATTTTCTTCCGTTCAATTTTCATCATCTCTTTTTCTCGAACCAGAGAAATTGAAGAATGCAATTGAAAATTAATAGCTTCTTCAAGCCTTCTATCAATCATCATTTACTTACAACTTCTTTCTTTTATTATTGTTTCTTTTGAATGTCTCTATGGTAGATTCTTTTATTACTTCTTTTTTTTTTTTTTTTTGGAAGAGTTTATCCGTAATATTTATCAAATTTTTTTCGTTTGTCCTTGTGTGTTAGAAGACAACAAGAGGATCTTGAGTTGTCCTTGGAATCAAGCAACTCAAATATGCATGTAAGATATTGGCTTTTAAAACTTCATCTCAAGTTACAAAAATGTGTAAGTTTTTGTAGACACTTATCATGGTCTCTTCATATGCTATATAATAAGTTGGGATTCAAGCTTTTCCTTTTTATATCGTTGAGCTTATCATGTGTATGTTTGAGGTTTTTAAAAGTTTCATAACTGAATAAACCATTTTCTAGCAATTAAAAGTAATTGATTTGTCACTTGTCAGTTTATCACTACTTATTGATATGTAAGTATCTAACTTCTTGATTTCTTTGTTAGATGAGGGAGTTAATTATTTACTTGAGTGATACCTCCAAATCCTTTTTAATGGAGTAACTATATTTAAATTGAGCAATACTTTCTGCAGTTGCACTAATGAAATTTACATCTACTATTACTTCCCTTTTTAATGAAAGAGGAGCTGCTTTGTTGGTGGAAACTGCAGATTAGACAAACAAAATGGATTACACTACTGTGCGTCAATATGTAATTTTTCGATATACTGTGAACTATTGTCTATGGCTTTTCAGTTTTTCTTTCTTTTTCCCTTGTTGTCCATTCCAGTGTATAAGAGTTTGATATGGCAGAAATAACATATTTGTATAGGTACACTGCTAGAGTTAGAGCTAAAGCATACAAAAGAAACATTGTAATAGCTTGAAATTAACTTATTCATTTCAAAATTTCTCCAGATATCAAATACTTAAATTATCAATTTCAAAATTAGAAGACAACAAGAGGATTTTGTTATATCTAGATACTACAACATGTACACCTGAGAAGAATGCTTAAATTATCAATTTTAGAGCAACTTGATAGCTGTTACACTTCTAATTTGTAACTTTTGTAATCATAGATTGAATGGATAACTGAAAATGGTGGACTTTTATGTGAATAACATGAATAAAATACTGATGTAAATACTTAAATTTAACGTGGTAATCCAACTTCCATGGAATCATTTCCTTACAGATAGCTATTCGAATAAGAAAACAATTAGTTGATAGTCTCTTCAACCTCAGCTTATCAGCAACCAAAAGAAAAATAATAATTAAAAAGCATAGATAAAGATAGTTTATTAAAAAAAAAAAGTTGAACCCTTTTCTCTCTGATTCACTTTTTAGAGGATTATGAATAATTTTTTTGGTGCCCAAAACAGCATAAAATATCTATCTTTTTCTGTTCTTCTGCGGTCATATCATCTGGCCCTCTTTCATTCTCCAAGATCCAGGTTTACCCCGGTGAGTGTTGGTTGGATTTTTGAAGTTCTAGCTTAATATTTATGGGTGTAGATATATGTGTTGTATAGATGTAAATCTCTATTCCTGCATTGATAAATTGGAAGAAATTTTGGTGCATTGATGCGAGAGAAGAGCAGACAGTTGACAGAGATGTCAGAGGTTTTTTGCGAGGAGTGTGTGACAGACCCACTTGAGTTTAGTTCCAACAAGAACATGTTAGATGCTGTATTTGATAGTGTCGACCTTCTTCAAAAAAGGAAAGAGTTCACAACGTAGGACGACAGTAATGTGGACAAGCCTTGATGCCATTTAGTTCATTAACCTTCTTCACAGGTTGGTTATTTTCTGCTTTCTTTATTGTTCCTCTTCCTCGTGATTTCAATTCTTCTCTTATCATTGGTCTTATACTTCTCAACACTTCCCCTCATGCTAGGAAGTGAGAAGATATTGAACACTCCTAGCTTGAAACTGAGATGTTGAAGTTTCATTTTTGTGAACCCTTTAGTGAGTAGATGAGCTGGTTGATCTTGTGTAAGAATGTACTTTTTAGACACTAGAGCTTGTGTGATCTTTTCTCTTACAAATGACAATCAATCTCAATGTGTTTGGTTCTCTCATGATATTGCAAGTTTTATAGCAGCCTTAGCTGCTATCAGTATATATGTTGATAGGTAATGAAATCTACATTGTTTTATTACAAAATTGTCTTCAGCTTCTATACATATACATATAAATGTTTTGGAATAGTTTAAATTCATTTCTGTTTTACAATCCCCTATAAAAGCCTTAGCTGTTTTTGTTATTGATGGGTAAAAAATTAGAGGTTGCTTCATTTGTTAGTATTGTGTGCAAGTGTAACTAATTCATAAATATGGTCTACTGATGTACACTTTGCTTACCCTAATTCTTCTCTTTTACTTTTCTTATGATTGTATATATAGATAATAATAGAGCTTCAACTGCATTGGTGTGTAGAAAGTCCATCATATAAAATTGATATGCGGCATGATATCTAACTACTTAATGATGAGACTTGACCATATAGTGTTCCAAGATATTTAATACTACATATACACATCTACATGTTGTTCTGGGGCGGTCGTGACAATTTCCTACAAAAGATTAGGATATGTTTGTGGTGAAGGCTTTGTTTCTTAGTCAGCTATATATATCGAGGGAGTTTGTGACTTTAATATCTCCATTTAAAGCTTAATCTAATTTTCATATCAACATGTGAACACATCTAATTCAAGATGGAGAATTAAGGATGAGAAAGGCTGGATTAAAGTCTTTTAATGGGCACACTTATTATGGTACTATTTGTTTTATTTCAAGGGCATTAAGAGAAAGGTGAGGTAAAAAGATTATTTTCTTTTTACCTTTTTATTGTTTTAGGATATGATTCTTATATCTATTGATTTTATTGATATTAATATTTAAAAACAACTTGGTTGCTCTGATCGGGTGAATTCTTTGGACATCTGCAACAACAACAACCTCAATTGCTCCTCAATCCTAGATTAGGCTGCTAGCATATATCTTAAATGATTTTATTACTAACTACTTATGAGATGTCTCTTAGTGTTGGCATTAATTTGATTATATTAAAGCATTGATGTTGTAGCGCACTTCAAATATGGACACCAGAATTGAAGTTCACTGCTATCTCTCTCTGTAATTCCTAGCGCTGTCGTTAATGGACGGGTCAATTTTTCTATATTGTCGCAATATGCGGAAATATGAGGTAAGATCCATGTTCGACATCTCTGTTTCATGTCATTTGTTCAACTTCTTTAGGGTAATTTGTCTGCCTTCACACACTTGCTCCTAGAGGCAAATATTTACATGAGCTATTTCTCTTTCTTCCGATGACATAGCTTCTATCTTTGAAATTTCTCCAATCATTGGTCTTCCCATGCAGTGTTAAACAATTGAGGTGAGTATCTCCTCTCTGCTATTTCATTTCATTTGTTTTTCTTGAAGAGTTTTTTCTTTTGTCTTTTGTGTCGGTCAGTTCTGCTGCGCGCCTTCATTGCTCTAATCAGATTCAGAATTGAGTACGATAAAATATAGAAAATTTAATATAAAACTCAATTAATAATTATTGACCTCTTCACAGGAAAGGAATAAAACATTAATTAAGTGGTATTGAATTTCTGACGGATTTTGCAGTAGTGACATTAGTACTGGAGAAAGTGATAGGAAATTTGTATCAAAATTCTTGTTCTTTGTTTTAATTAATAGGTTCGGTCTCTTGCAATCATCGATTTTCTAATCTCTATTATATGTAAGACAGCAAAGACATGTATTATGTATCGATCATTGTTTATGACATGCTCAACTGACTTGATTACTTGAAGTTTCGTATCATTGAAATATATGATTTGCTAATCTCTATTATCTGTAAGACAGCAAAGACATGTATTATGTATCGATTTTCTTTTTCTCATGTCTGGTACATACTCTATGATATATATCTCTTTTTAGATATTGATCAGTTCATAGATATGTCGATGTGATTACTGTGATAGTATCCCAGGAACCAAGCTTGTCATTATTAAACCTCTATTTGAAAGTATGACTTGCAATAAATGAAGTAATCAAATAGTTTATATAGCTTTCTTACTCTTAATGCTTTGAATATTGTTTTGAGAAATGGATTTTGGGCCTAACTCAACTCCAAAAGCTAGCTCTCGAGGGAGATAGCACAATTCCATATAAGGAGACCACTCATCTCTTTTTCTATTCGATGTGGGACTCTTCAAACTCCCATCTCACGTCCAATATTTAATATGGGGCCCAACATTAACAAGAGCCCTACTTTGATATCATATAAAATTAGGTTTTGGGCTTATGAGAATCTCATTAATGGTTAATGTGAGACTTTCTTCATTCTTCAATATAATGAATAGATCTGAGGTAATATTTCCATAACAAAAAATAATGTATTTTCAAATGGAGCAGCATTAGAGTTCTTGTACTTCTTGAAAACATGTTGGTACACAAACGAACCTTACATTTGGGATGAGACATTGTACAAAAACTGAAGTGAAATCTTTAGCTTTAAGAAAGGAAATTATGTTCAATAGATGAAGATGGACATAAGACTTGGAAAACTGCATTATATAAACATAAAAATGCTTAACGTTTTCAAGTATTTTTAGACAATAAAGAGTGATAATCAAAAGAATGAAAAATTTATATGTTTTAAAATACTTTGCAGGAAAATTGAGACATGGTTAAACCAACAAATCATGTCAATTCTGGAGATGGTCCTGACTACAATATTGAAGTCATGGATGTTTATGATATTGTGTTGAGCAGATTAAATTTAAATTATGCAGGTGTAATAAAATCTGGTAGGCTCAACCTCACAAAACAACAATGACCTTACCCTATTTTTGATTCACTTCCTTCATAAGCCAATTAAATAGTTGGTAACCTATATAGGATGAAAATGTACACCACGGAGAATCAAATTTATTGCATAGACGACTCTGGTATGATGTTAAGCGATTGCATAGTCTCATCCACTTCAACTTTAGTTATGTCACCCTTAGTTCTTTTAATTCTAATTAACAGTATGGATTGACTTGAAAAATATAGGTTTTAAGTAAAAAATAGAAAATCAAATTTAAATGATTTTTAAGTCAAAAAATAAAAAGTAGGGGGAGATCAACTTTTGGTTTTTGACTTATTTTAAGTCATTTTTAGCTTATTTTAAGTCATTTTTGACATTGCCAAAAACTTCCTAACTTATTTTAAATCATTTAAAGTTATTTTTTATATTTGTCAAACACTTCCAGAAATCAAAAACTGATTTAAAAGTAGGTTTGACCAACTTTTAAGTCAATCCAAACAGCCTCTAAGTTTTAAACCTAATGTTCGAAAAATGAAGGTTGTTTTTTCATTAAATTAAAAACAAGAGAAACTTATTGAAATAAAATTATCATGTTGGGCCCGTGCTATGCACGGGCAAAACTCATCTAGTTTACTTAGAAAACTAGATTGAGATTATCAACACAGAGATATTTAGCTTGTGGCAATATAACTTTATTCTTTAAAATTTAAAGTCGGACTTGGAGTAATTCTTTAACAAGATTCGATTAATATTCATGTTAAGAAATTCTATCAAAATATTCTCTTGATTTTGAAGATAATTTAAAATATCTCTTTAAGCCAGTAAAAGTGGTGATGTAGTACTTAAATTAAACATGTCAAAGGTCTGTTTGGCACCTTTGGGCATGTCTTGACATCTCTATCAGAACCGTTTGTTTTCTTACTACCACTACTATCTTCGAGATACAAATTTTAACACTTATACTTACTTTTCTTATTTTATCCATCGTGCAAATTAAATTTTAAAAAATAAAAATAATTAAATATTTAAGAAGTAATATACTAAATAAATAAGTGATGGAACGATGATATACCAAAGTTGAAAACTTTTATTTTATGTTGTTAATTGCAAGAATAATAAGAGATTGCTAGAGAAATTAAGACTTAAAGAGAAAATTGAGAGATAATAAGGAGATTAATGTTGTAGAAAAAATGATGAAATTTAGAAAGTATTTATAGATAAAAAATGAATGAAAATGTATTTTATTTTATTTTAACTTTGGAGTTTAAAATATTTTTAGGAAGTTTGGAGGTGTTTTGGGCTCCACTTTCCAGATTTTTTAGTTGGCCCAACGGCTATTTTTGCAAAGTAGAAACCAAAGTGTAATTAAGGTTTAAAATTTATAGCCCGTCTTAAAACTAGAGAAACCTAAAAAGGAATTGACTACAAAAGAATGAGAATATAAGTAAAGCACACTATTAAATATATCATTTTTGTTATAGGTAAATTTTAATAATATTTTACATATATTAAACATTAAAAATACATCTCTAGAACGAGAGGAACATATGTAATATATTCTTCAAACACAATATTATTTATTTCACACACTAGCTAGCTAGATAGAACTAGCTAGTCAATATCACACAAAGACACACATATATATTTGTGTGTAAACATACATATATATATATATTTTGCATATGTATAAATAGGGCTATGAGCCATTTAGTAGCATTGATGTTTAATTACTTGAGAAGGTGAACCTCAATATCTTTTGTCACGTGAAGGACAAAACCCAAGAGAACGAGAGGCTCTGGTATGTCCTCAGTTTTCTTCTCATACAGAAATGTCCATGTAGTCCATTGGTGGTCACATGATGTGATAATAGTAAAGGAATTGTACAACTCTAACAGATCTCCACCAATCACTTTCCAAGTGATTGTTTTAGTTTGAGGATCGACAGCTTCAATCACTTGCTTTGAAATCTTATCTTTTCCATCTTTAATCAATAAAATAAAAAATATAAGAGATGATAATAAGCAACTTCAAGTTGAACATTCACAATTACATATTTTTAGCTCGATCGTTTTATAGGTTTTTCTTTGTTTTTCATTTTCTCCAATGAAATCTGTAAAATGTTTGTATAACGTCTCACAATATTTGATTGATGATGAGAAAATATTTTATGAAAAGTACAAGCTAAAGTTAAATCATTTCTTCAAAAAATTGGAAGGTGTTCTGATAAATATTTTTATTACTAAAGATTAATAATGTCAAAATATTTGGAGCAAACAAAAACAGATCATTAATGATTTAAATTTGATTGGTTCAACGTTTATATTTATACAACTAATACTCGTTACACTTTCACAAATGTGGGTTCAGAACTTGATTACTCTTTTAATAATATTTTTTTTGATTTTGCACATATCTATATTGCGTATAATGACGAGAGGGAGTTGCTCGGATGGTAAGCACCTCTCATTTCCAACTCGAAGATTGTGAGTTCAAGTCACCAAGGGAGCAAAACGGATGGGAGCTCCGGTAAACAAAAAAAAATATTGCGTATAATAATATTACCCGTTGAAACTTACAAGTACATAAACTTTTGGGAACAAATAATATGATCTTAAAAATTAAGACACTTATATGAAAAAATGACTTTCCCCTCAAATGAAAGAAGTTATTTTCCCTTTTTAGAGTAAAATGTTTACCCTATGGTAACTAAACACCATTAAAAAACTTTTTTATGAAAAATATTCAATTGGAAATGAACTTTCTCAGTACCATCAAACACACCTAAATATATAAAAAGAAAAATGATTCATAAGTAGAAAAAGGAATAATGTGTATATATTACCGTCATTATATTTCCAGTTAACGACTGAACCAATTTTTACAGTTTCACCTTCATGAATTTCAAAACTTTGGATCTTGCTAGGGCATATGTTGGATATGTGATGAGTTTTGGTGTGAAAAATATCATGAACCAAGTGTCCTCCACACTTCACTTCTACTGAAGCAATCAACTTGCCTTTCACACCCATATTTATTTATTTTTTAAGTATAACAAAAGATTTTGAAAAGAAAGTGGTGATAAAATGATTACAAGTTAATAGTATTTATATAGATTTCAATTAGCTGCAGCAAAGGTTATTATAAATATTACAGAACATGATTCACGACATATCATGGAAGTTTGGTGTTAGATTGTTAACCCATTGAGGAGAAAATGACAGAAAAAAAAAAAAAGTATTTTATTTTGGAAAACTTATTGCAATTTCACTAGTTTAGGAGTAATTAATTTAGATACACTTTAGTTTGTTAGATCACGAATCTTATCAGAGTTTGGTACGTCCAAATATATCTATCTTGGGATACATTGGTTTAGAATTAGATGTAAATGGTTCTAGATATACTGTATCCAATTGGATTCGCATGTTTCTGAGATACATAACAAATCTCGTTTGCCTCTCTCTCACCTCGCTCACTACTTTCTATGTATCGGTATCCCACATACATGTGAATCACACCAGATATATAAAAATACATGATATATACATGACTATCTCGCTTGCCTCCCTCCCCTTCTCGCTCGCCTTTCTCCTTATTTTAGTATATATGGTAGCAAAAATGCATGTATTTAGGTGTATCTTCCTCAATATATGATACTTGATAGGAAACTCTTAATGAGTGGTAAAATTAAAATACATAATTATTTGAAAATATAGATAAAAAAATTAGTGTATCTAGTAGCAAAAATGTATGTATCTAGGTGTATCTTCCTCAATATATGATACTTGGTAGGACTCTCTTAATGAGTGGTAAAATTAAAATACCTAATTATTTGAAAATATAGATTAAAAAAATGGGAAAATTGCATGGTTAAGCAATTTATACTACTTAATTACTCATCATAGCTATAGTTTGCTATAATTACCACTCGCGACTACCATTATACATTAATTACGTGGGCTGACTTCGAGTTTGTATAATTAGTCAAGTTTGTATATGTATAATTCGCCACATTTGTATAATTCGTAGCTGACAATTCTTTGTGTGATTTGTATCTGTATACGATTGTTTGTATTTGTATATGACGATGATTTCCTTTGGTTTTTCAGTT